CATCAATAGTTACTAGATCATAAAGATTGCAGGAATGTATATTTATCAAACGAATTCTCAAGTTTTATTCTTTCTATTGCAACATCTGTCAACATATAGACGAAACTTAATTTTCGAGCGTTTAAAATAACTTCGAAAGAACATTGAGATAATATGCACACTGTTCGTGAGTATATATGTATTTAAATATCAACAAAACTTAAATCTCAATAAATCGAGTGGATAGGAGAAGATAGAGAGGAAAAATGTTAAAAGGAAAAACATTGAAAACTAAAATGCCGAAAACAAAAGCATGAAAAGAAAATGAGCATGTAAGATTGAATTGATGGTGAAAGATACTTGTATTTCAACACATCTTCATTTTCAGCATTTCTATCGACCTACATTCGTATTGTTTTTGTTTTTTGATATTTTTATTTTTCGACATATCCCCTTTTGATAGTTTTGCTGTCTACTTTTTTTCATCATGCGAATAAGTCTTAATTAAGTAAATGATCTTGACCAACATGATGAGATATCCTCAGAGATTCATTCTTCATATTTTATTTGAAAGTATAGTTTGATGCCAAAGTTGCTTACAATTACATATTGATAATTAAGAGCTTGGCTTTGGTTCGACCAATATTTCCTATAATTCCTATACTTTAAAAAACATGATCTATTTTAGTCCTATATTCTCACAAAAATTCCTATTTCTGTTATATTTTATCGAAAAAAGTAGAAAATTTTCGAAAAGCTATAAATTTTGCTATTTTCTCTAGATGAAAAAAGCTCTATATAGTCATTTGTCGGACAAGTTTTTATATTGTAGCGGTATCTGATCTAAACAGAGTATTTCTTTCTTTGCATCTATTTCACGATTTGAGCTGATCTAGAAATTGTTTAATGCTAAGCATAAAATAGAAAATAGCTCAGAGGAAAAAGCATTTATACAGTGATCATACACTAGTTCGGAGATTTTAGTGAAGTTTCACTTAAATATAAAGGCTATATATATGAAATACCTGGTACAGACTCTCTTGCAGAATCCCCGATATCTCCCTGGAAAAAGTGCGAAATTCCAGAGAATTCTTAGGGATTGCATTTTTTGGAGTGTGCGTTATTTTTAGAGAGTTTCCTGATATTCTCTTTCAGCTTCTTTGGTATATCTTTAAAGCTCCTCTCAAGTCATCAGAGAATCTCTAGGGATTCATTTTGTGTGTAACAACTATGGTATATATCGGCAAAATCAGGCAGAATAGGACATTTGCACATTTCATTTGAGGTTGATTCTCTATAAGAGTGAATTTTTTGGATAAATTCTTTTGGCCTAGGCTTATGTGAAAATGTTTGGTCTTTCACATGGTTATTAATTAATTACAAAGTAATTAGCGAATATCTCGCTAGCCATATGAGAAAAAAGCCTGAAAACTTCAGGATAGGGTCTAGAGCATAAGCTGCATTTATGCTAAAATTTCCAGCAAGATTGGACTTCAAAAAGTTTCCTGCGAAAAATCGATTTTCTAGAGATCCTAAAAAGTGAAGAAGCGAAAACTTTTGTCTTATCATCATCCGAGCGGTCTGCACAAGGATTTGTAACGTTTGCAGTCGATTTTGAACTTTTCAGTTGGTTACAAGAGCACCATCTCGATTGTGTAGTTGTACTGTGTCACGTTGCTAACGACAAATAAATTGGCTTTTTTTTGAAAAATCTAGACATACTCAGAAAAATTTTGCATATAGACTTTATAGCCTTAGGAGCTGTCTACGGAATACCCTATTTAGTTTTCTAAAATTGTGCATGCACTCTAAGTTAAAATGTGTGGACTTTTCCGTTGCAAATTATGGTGTCGTGGGTTCCAGCAAGAAAATGTGGCGCACTTTAATGTACCGTATTTTTAACCGTTCTCTACATATATGACGACTGTTCATTCACCGATTTTGTTCGATGTGTATATCTTTGTATAATCGATCTGAACCATCACATGAAAATCATACGTTGTCGTAGCGCATTCTATATAATATATTTCTCGATTATATATTTCTTATAAATATTTCGAGAAACAATGGCCTCACCTAAAGAGAGGTCTACCTGGCAATAGTTCGACCGAGATCTGACTAGCCTTACATGGCTGGATCTCAAGATCTGCCTGGTTTACACTGTTGCATCAAACACTGATGTTAATTGTACTAATTAAATATTGATGGATATAATGCACGAAAGAAAAATAATTATGGATACGGTGAAACCTAGACTCGAACAGTGATTTCAGAATGTGTCGGATGTGTCGTGGGATAATGTGTTGTACACTTGCTGGAGAAAATGTGTCGCCGCGAGCACCTCGTGCCGTGCTCAAATGTGTCGTGGAATGTGTTTTGAATCACGACACATCCGACACATTTTAACTTAGAATGTGAATTGGGAGTTTTTAAAAACTAAAATGCACGAAGTGGAAATCGATGTCCTTTTTGTGAAACACGATCTGAAAGGAGTGTTGAAGTGTTT